GCGAGGAACCCCGAGTTTCCACCAGGCAAAGAGGACTGGATCGATCCGGCCACGACATTCCTACCTGAACCCTCGGAGAGCAGCCCACCTCAACAGCCCACACCATCCTGTTCAACGTCAAATCCCTCATACTATGTTGGATCAGACCTCAGCGACTGAGGTATCGACTTCAAATCCCTAAAATATGCATTATGTCTATATCATCTTGCATTAGTCTCGTTTTCTCTTTACTTCTCTCACACGCTTTTATAACACAAGGGACTGTGTTATTTAAGTGTGGGGGGGAGGAGCTTTGTGTTTTCTGATCCTGTTTTCTTTGCTCTTATTTGACTTTTTGCATTTTGAGTCTCATGTAGCTTAGTGCATATGAAAAATCAGAAAATTTTCACAAAAAATGTTCATTCTAGTTGCATTTCACATTTTAGGGTCGAGTCTAGTTGCATCATGTAGGATTGCATCAATGCACGGAGTAATGATAGATTTTTTTCCTAGAGAGTACATCACCTTGAGAACTTGAACTAAATATGCTTGTGAACCTCATTCTGTGCTTGCAAAGTCTGAAACGATCCGAATCTGAGAAACAAGTTTGAATTGAACTCAACTCTAATTAAGTGAGAACCCTGAACTTGACTTGAAAATATGTTGTGGTGCATTGTTTGAATAAGCTTGTGGATACCGACATACATACTTGAGCTAGAACCATTGTTTTACCGTCCTCTTTCCTTAGCTCAAGTAGCTGAATCCGCATCATGGATCAGTTCCCTCACCTTGAACCTATCTTTCTTTCAAGCCAATTTTCGTGTGTGAATTGAAAGGCCACCTTGGATCAAACTTAGCAGAAAGTGTTAGGTTTTGGGCGACAAGGGCAGGTCTCATTGAGTGCTGTGTTCCAACATCAAGGAACCGAGAGTATTGGCGAGGAAAAAGTGTGAGAAAAAGACTTGTTGGTGAGTGGAAAAAGGTGAGATGAGTGGAAAAGAGAGAGTGGAAATAGCTAGGGGAATGAAAGAAAAGAATTCTGTCTTGGAGTTTTTGAGTTAAGAGATTGAGCTCTTGTGTTGTGGAAAAGAAAACCTAGCCTCTAAACGAAAAGAAAAGTGAAAAAGAAGCCAAAGAGCTCAGGCGTTTTGAAAAGAAAGAGAAAGAGGCTAGGAATTGCGAAAGAAAGTGGAAAAGAGCTGATGAAAGTGTAAGCTCCGAGATCTGCGCATGAGAAAAGAAGATGAATCCCCTAGCTGAGCGATGACGAGAGTGAAAAGAGAGGTTCTTGAGAGTGTGAGCAAGTGAGGAAACTTTGAGTAGAGTGTGGGGTGGGATGAGTCTCTGCCCTTGTATGCATCGGTTGCTTTTTACCTTTAGCATTCTGCCGAAGTTTGATCATTCATAGAGAGATCCCTTTGCTTCATTGAACCCGCTTGAACACTAATGAGATCATTTTTATCTCATAACCTCTCCCTAGCCAAGCCAGCTTGTTTAAACATTGCATCATTCGATTCATCTGATAAAGCTTAATGAATGTGAAAGAGTTGAGAGAGAGGAGAACTTGTGGAGATTCCTTGCTAAGTTGATATATATCTGAGTATGGCTTTGCATTGCATATTTGAGCATGAACTTGAGTTCTCGTTGTGATCACTTTTCTCTAAAAGGAAATATGAACTCCCGTTGCATCCAACCTCTCTCTCTCTCATTTGTTCTTTTTGCTTGAGGACAAGCAAAGGACAAGTGTGGGAGAGTTGATATGTCTATATTTTGCATCATTTAAACTGCATTTTAGAGTCCAAATCATGTGTTTTCTCATTTATTTTAGGTCTTTAGGATTTGCATTAGGTCCCAAAGAGTTTTGCATCGTTTGGAGTCTTTATCAGGTGCTTTGGAGGGTATTTGGAGCTCAAGAGGAAGATCAGGAGTTGAAACGGTGAAGAAAAGGATCAAAAATGGTGAAAACCGCTTGGAGGAATTTCTCGGCTAGAATCGAAACTCGGGTGGATCAGAATATCGGCTAGAATCGCTATCGGGTGGTCTTTACCGACTAAAAATCATTATCGGATGAAAACTCCATTGAGTGAAATTTTATGCCGAGGCAAGAAGTTTTTACCGGCTAAAAAGATTACCGCGGCACATGTTTTTCGGACATTTTCCTTACTGCGGGAAGTATTTCTTGGCTAAAATCCATTTTCACCTGCACACATCAAAGATCGCAAATCCGTGGAATCTTCTGATCCGAATCAGTTGACGGGGTCTTCATCAAAGTTGGAGATAATCAAGCCAAGATCCCAGAACAGTTGAAATCACGGGATTCGGAGCAGTGAGTAGAGAGATATCGCCACCGGAAGACAGATCCGATGGATTTTGAAGATTACATAGGACGATGCAGTGAGTAGAGAAATCACGGGATTCGGAGCAGTTGAAAGCCGATCCGATGGGTTTTGAAGATTACATAGGACGATGCCCTTCCAGCTCGAATCAGTTTACAAAGCCTTCATCAATATTTACGATAATTGAGTGCTCTTTCCGGAACAACTGAGATCGTTCAATTTGGAGCGGTAGTTTGGAAGATACCGTCTCCGGAAGAGACATCGGTCTAAAAGCTGTTTTTTCGGTCATTCCAATGCGGTGCAAATATGAGCAATCCGGAGAGCCTTCCACTTCCCAAGCTCCGATGATTTCTTCACCAAAGTTTGAGATGAATGAGTTATCTTGATTATGGAACTGGTTTCAAGACACTTGGATTCGTGTGCTGAAAGTTATTGCAACCGGAAGACGAGTTAATCAGTACGACCTAAGGAGTTGCGATATGCGCTAAGTGTTTCTACTGACCTCGGCATCATTACCTCGACATTGCTTAGGCCGAGGCTCGTCCTCTGAAGCTCTTTGGACTATACCTCGTGCTAACTCCTCGGTATGTCAAGATCGAGGCATGCATGCTGGAGAAGCGAGAAGATGCAATAGCAGAACAAGACTCATCAATATTCACAACTCAACTACAGGTAGGTTTCCACTCTGATTCTGGAAGGGAGAAGATGCAATAGCAGAACGAGACTCATCAATATTCACAACTCAACTACAGGTAGGTTTCCACTCCTATAGAAGAATTGCTCATTTCACCCTAGTTCAGACAATCAATGAAAGCTTTCGCAACATATCATATCAGATCGGCTTCTAAGTGGCCAGCAAAGAATCACGCAGTAAGATTAAAGGAAAACGAAGAACATCTAGAAGATTAATAATCCTAAATCTATCGATTCATAAGCAAAGACATATGAAATTCCCTTTGAAAAATCCCTTTAAACCCAACTGGGTAACTACTCAAACATATTGTAAACAATCATCACAGAGTATTGAAAGTTGCAGGAAATTAAAGAAAAGAAGAAAGAAGAACGAAGAACGGAAGCGACGATGGAGGCGCGATGATGCTCTCCTCGGCGGCGGCTCCTTCTTCTGATGCGGCGGCCTCCTCTAGGGTTCCAGCCGAAATCCCTCTCTCTCTCTCTCTAAGTTGTCTAAGTTTCGGTCTCTCTGCCCTTTAGAATGACCTAAAGGGGGTATTTATAGCTTCTGGGGTGGTTCTGGACACTTAGGGCTTCAAAAATAACGAAAGGAATTGATCTGGGCTTTAATTATGTCGTCAGGAAAGTGAACGACCAAAGTCCGCGGTCGCGGTGGCTCTACCCGCAGGAAAATGGGTGTTGGCCGCGGTCCCGGCACCTGCTCTCTTCCGGAACTGCATTTTCTGTCATTCTTGCATCGGGAGTATCTGAACATCTAACCGTTGGATTGTCTCCAAACCAAATGCATTAGAAAGCTGGTTGGATCCTCTATGTTGTCTCAAATTTTGGGGGTGATCAGACGGTGAGAAGGTCTTCATCGCTTGCCATACTTCTGACGGTCTGCATTTATCCAAAATTGCTCATTTGTTCAAAATTGCATATCTTTTGACCAAGTTTCCTGTAAAGTCTTTTGAAACTCTAAAACATTGAAAACACTTTAAAAACATTGAAAACAGAGTCAAAACACCTGCATAAGACGTTATTATGATCCATAAAAGTGGTCAAAATACGGTGTTATCAGTCATCAATACCTCAGCTTCACACTCTCACACACCGAGATGCTCACCCGATGACCCAAGAAGAGCGTTCAGTACCCGGTTTGTTCCGGGCTGACCCGTGACACTTACCCTTCACTATAAATAGATTTAGGACCAGAAACCTAATCATCTTTTATCTTATCTTATTTTCTGCCTGTTTTAGCTTTAAGAACTTGCCTCTTTTGTGAAACTTGATTAATCTAATCCGATATCTCGTTTTCACGTAAGGATCTTGTTCTTGTTCATTTTCCTTTATTCACCAGCATCAAACTTCTAATCATGACCAGCTACACGTCTCACAAAGGACTTAGTGAGCTCGTTATGATTAGTGAGTAGTCCATTTAAGAGGTTTTAGATGGGTAGATTAGGGTGTTTCCAAGATAGATTAGTGAGTTTAGGGGTCTAGCTTGCATATTTCATTCCTTAGCCGATCTTGCACTCTAAGCTGGATCCAAGCACATCACTTGCGGTTCAGATCTGAGGTTTTCCTTGCATCATAAGTGTTTGATGAAATGCCTGAACCAATCGGCTAAGGGTTTAAGAGTCTTTCATCGTGAGAGTGATAGTTTGTTCTTCTTAAATGACTTATTGAACTGAATCTTAAAGCTGACTGATTCATGCTTCTCAAAAGGGATTTTGGTATGAAAGAGTATCAGTTTAGATGTTTAATACCTTCATGAGAGGATTATCATATTTTGAGTTCATGTTAAATGAAAATGTTTGCTAATATTGATTCATTAACTTGCTAGTTTAGCTTAAAGACACCCGAGTCCTTTATCCTGTCTAAAACCTCTGCCTTTATCATTTATTATCATCATCCGATCATTTGCTTATTTACTTACTATCATTTGCATCTTCATCTAGTCTAGATATCATCGCTTGCTTTACTTTTATGCTTATTTGCTTTCAAAGTAGATTAGTCATCAAAAACCTTGCTTGATCATCTTGACTTAAGATTACAAGTAACATAGATTAGTGCCTCTCCACAAGTTTGGTTTGATAACCCCTTGTACTACAAGACAGGGAATTGATAACCTCTATAAAGAGTGAAAACTCTTAGTTATCAAGGGACTCTACGACTATGTGAAGGAATGATAACTTGCAGACATCAGCCCTGCACAAAACAAAGATGCCACACAAAAATCATGGTTACAAGATTTTCTGTATTCATAATCCAAAATTTACTAACAGAAATCTGATAAGCCTCCTTATTGAGATACTCAATAAATTTACAGCTAGCTCTCATCAAATATGACAGGAAATCAAAAAGACAATTCACAAACTCACAAAAATCATCTATCAGAAACAACAAATGTAAGCTAAAATGCAATAGCTTCGTCCAAAAAGCCATACCGGACTCGGAAATTTGCAGAAGGAGTTCTGACCACTAAGTGCAGTTCACGAAAGAGCCAACAAGGAAATAAACCAAACAAATTTTAAGATCTACAAAAAAAAAAAACAGATCTTTAGGGGGTTTAAAGAGGAAGAGAGGTTTGACTAAAAAAAAAAGAGGAAGAGAGGTTACCTCACCCCAAAGACTGTGAGGAGCGGCCAGATTTGGTGAGAGACTAAGATGAACCATCTTCTTCAATATCTCCTTCAAGACGGCTTAAGATCTTGGCCCCGCCTGAATCTTCTTTCTTCAGCTCCTTTACGACGGCTTTGTAAGGCACCCATGCTTTCCCATAGCTTCAAAAAGAGAATAAGAAGCAAAACAAAAAACGGTGAAAGAGAAGAGAGAGCGCCGTTTTAGAGAGTCTCTCTCAAATAAAATTAGGGTTTTTCTGGGTTAGTTCACTTATATAGTAGGATAAAAAAAGTATTTTTCTTTTTGGTTTTGGATAGGTTAATTTTTTGGTTTAATTTTGGTTTACAATTCGATTAAATTCTAAAACCTAATTTTACAAAAAAAATTAATTTCGGTTGGAATAACATTTTTGCTTCAATATATCTTAAATTCCTTAATTCAGTTTCGATTTTAAATATCAGTTAAGTTAATTTATTCAGATTTGTAGACTTCCTCGTTGGTTCAATTTCGGTTCTATTTTCGGTAAGGTTAATTTATTCGGTTTAGTAGACTTTCATATAGAAGTCTACTAGATATAAACACTAAATCAAATATTTTGCTCTTTTTAATTTAAAACAATAAATTTTAACTTATGAATATAAAAAATAATTTATATACATTGGGGTTACCAATATATAATTTATGATTGCAAATTTAAAACAATTATTATTTTTTATTATTTTTAAAATTAAATTTAATGATGTAATTATATAGTAGACTTCATAAGCTTTATTAGAGATCTACTAGTAGACTTCTAATAGTCTAAAGCAGACTTCGTCAAGGTTTAAATCGTAATAAGGATATCCGTTTTTTTGTTTAGTCATACAGGTTTATATTGTCTTTTCACTACCCCTTTAGGTTATTTTTGCTAAAGATTTCATCAGGAGTATACTTTTGTATTCAAATTCAACTTTTAGGTCAATTTTAGCAAAAATCCCATAAAAATTAAAAATTTTGAAGATAACAGTAAATATAAAAAGAAAAAATGATGAATTTTGTGTCTTTAGCATTAGTGTTACATTCACCTTTTTTTCTTATTCTCTCTCTTCCCACAATCATGATCGTTGATTCGCTTCCATATATTTCCCATCACTACACTGCTCTGACCTTTACCTCAGTCGTCAGGGCTGTTGTTTTTGTCTTAATTTCTCTGGCATCTTGTTACTCTCCCTTGCTTAGAGCAACTTGAACGCTATACCCCATGGGAGGGTTCTTTAAAGTTTTTAATGAATATTTCTTTGATTTATGAATAGTGTAGATTTCCTTAATTTTTTTCCCCTCCTAACCCTGAACCTCTTAAGCTGATGAACCCCTCGACGAAGACGAAGGTGAAACCAAAAAAATCCTTAAAACAGAAACACAAAAAAAACACCAAAATCAGTTGAAAACAAAAAATCAGGAGAAGTACAAATAGAGAAAACGATGAGAAAGCACAGAAAAAAAATCAATCGAAGAAGAAAGAAACCTCATCATTATTATATATACCCAAGAGAAAAGAGAAATCTGTGTAGAACTCGAAAAACTATGACCAAGAATCTGTGTAGAGAGAGAGAAACGAAGGAGAAGAGAAATGGAGGCTCTGCGTTTACAGTGAGGAAGAAGAAGGGGAACAGAATGAGAAATAGTGGATCGAATGAAAAACAGACACATAGCTGATGAACCCATCGACGAGTCGCTTCTTCGGACCCTTCAGGAAGCGGTTCATCAAATAATAAGCTTTTTTGATTTAATTTTAACCCAAAAATCCGATGAACCCATGCGAAGAACCCCATTTTATCCTGCGTTGGAGGTGGTCTCACCAATCTCTGTTCCACATCTTTGATACCAACAACTCCTTACGATCTATCTCTCTTATGTCTATGTATTAGCTAGTTTTTATATTCATCACCTGAACTGAAACTCTTGCCTTCTGCTTCCATTTTCATTTGTGACCCTACCAATTAACAACATATCCACTTTATGAAGTTATCTCTCTCCATCTGAAAACATATTTAGGCGGCTTATGGCATGTGTTTGTGACACTTTATAATAAGACAACACCCATCTTATGATACAGATCTAAATAGTATACACCTAACATCAATCGACTAATATTGTATGTGGACGTTTTCTTATATCGCAAATACTATATGATTTAACTTTATTAGATTCAATTTACTATTACCGATGGTAAACACTATGCGCAAAATAAAAAATCGATTTTATCTTAAATCACATTTTAGTGGGGGACATTCCATGTTTTTATCTTTCTTCTTATATTTTGATTCAGAATTTCGGATTACAATCTCTTCACTATCATTTTGGCCAGCAAGAAAAGAGGCTTACCAAAAAGTCCTACACCAAATATTGTTTTGAAAAGCAATCATCATAGTTGAAAGTACTTACTTACAAAGAGCTGTCAATTAATCAAAGACACAAAAAGCATAGCAGTTCCTCAACTTAGTGCGATTAAACTTGGACGTTGGAAAACAGTATGAGTTAATTAATACATTTTTGAAAGGGAAAGCGGTGGTGGCAATTTCTCATTAGCTTCGTTGATATGATATTGTGATTCAACCCAAGAACATTTCATTCAGACTATTTCTACTGAACATAGTAAAATTAAGCTAAGCCAAGCCACAATTTATTCTAACTTTAACCATACTTATGGACTTCAACATCTCTTTTTCCTTTGTAACGTACCTTGTAAATCTCTTTTTTGATCCATGCATGGCTCCAAGCCAGGTTGGAACATTCTCCATACCATGCTTTGTTACCATTAAGAACAAACTTATATTTAGTGATTACATATATAACTCATTTGAAATGGAAGAAGGGCGTCAAGGGGTATATAAAATATAAGAAGGTGTCTCAATTTTATGAGTTAAAGTGATTTAACGCACTATTTTTTTTTTATAATCCCAGATGAATACATGAACGAACCATGATTGTGTATTTGTACGTTAGCTGATCAACTAAAAAATAAAATTCATCTCACAATTTAGAAACCTGCCAAATTTCAATGTAATTAACTTTTTCAGATGTCTTTATTCGTATCAGGGATAAAGAGAATGTAAACACTCGATGCCAAAAAAAAAAGAAAAAAAAAAGAGAATGTAAGCACTCATTTGAAAATATATCTTGTCCTCTCGTTCATGTCTCTAGCTTACCTCTAGATGCGCTCACCCTTTCTGACTCTTGCATTCACCTTTTCTTCTAAATTGGTGCACTCGATGCATGATCTCCAAAACCACACAAAAGACAAACTCATTAAATCAGAGTGATGCATGTACATGAGTAAAATAACATGAATTCAATATATGGGCCATACTCCGATTTGAAAACCCCATAAATTGAAGAAATTGAGAAGAACGAGGGCTACATCTTACTTATTTTTGCCAGTAATCCTGCGAAGAAGGCATTGCATATATTCAAAGTGCAAACCAGAGACCGAGAAGCCATAAGAGATGAGAGGACCTTGACCCCAAATTGTAATGTTGATCTATTTACCCTTTTGCAATAGTCGCAACCTGAGAATCCATCGTAATGCATAGTAGATGATATAGGCTCTGTTTCTGGATGTTGCATCTAGCTGCAAATGTCCAAATATTGTTCGTTTTTTCATAAAAAAATTTGCGTTCAGATGCAGCATCTGGATGCAAATTGATTAGCATCTCAAAAATCTAGATATTCTAAATGCTGAGAAATAGAGACTTCAGATGCAGCGTTTGCATTTACTTTATGTAAAAGACATTAATGCCCTTACTAAAATAAAAATTTCAACTTCTACAAATATTACAAAATTTCGATTTCTACTAACATCACAAAATCTCGATTTCCTAATTTTTTGCAAAAAACGAAAAAATTTTGATTTTCCGCCAAAATGTTAGTTCTCGGTTTCTCGCCAAAAACAAAAACTCTCTGTTTCCCACCAAAGACGAAAAAACTCGGTTTCTCACCCAAAACGCAAAATCTCGATTTTCCGCCAAAAATGAAAAACTCTCAATTTTCGTCGAAAACGCAAAATCTCGATTTCCTACCAAAAACAGAAAATCTTGATTTCCCGCCAAAAACAAAAAAATCTAGGTTTCTCACCAAAAACGCAAAACCTCAATTTCCCGCAAAAAACAAAAACTCTTGATTTCTCACCAAAAACGCAAAATCTCGATTTCCCGCCAAAAACAAAAAATCTTGGTTTCCCGTCAAAAACGAAAAATCTTTGTTTTTCGCCAAAAACGCAAAGTATCGGTTTCTTGCCAAAAAGGAAAAATCTCGGTTTTTCGCCGAAAACGCAAAATCTCGATTTCTCGTCAAAAACACAAAATTTAGATTTTCCGTCAAAAACAAAAAATTCTCGGTTTCCCGCCGAAAACGCAAAATCTTGGTTTCCCGCCAAAAACACAAAATCTCGATTTCCCACCAAAAATGAAAAATCTAGGTTTCTCGCCAAAAACGCAATATTTCCCACCAAAAACGAAAACTCTCGGTTTCTCACCAAAAATGCAAAATCTCGATTTCTCGCCAAAAATGAAAAATCTCGGTTTCTCGCCGAAAACGAAAACTCTCGGTTTCTCGCCGAAAACGCAAAATCTCGATGTCCCGCCAAAAATATAAAAAAAAATCATGTATTTTTAAAACTAAATTTTATAAAAAGATCATTTATTAAAAAATAATAATTCAAAAGTATGTATTTTTTAGTCATTTGATATATTTTGCATCCAACTATTTTTCTAAATTCACAAACGAATAATTAAGTATCTAGACATAGCATCTTGATGCAAAACCTAGTTTCCAAACAAACAATATATAGATGTTGTATCTAGATGCTGATCTAAATGCAAAATCTAGATGCAGCATCTAGATAAAAAAACGAACAGGGCCATATCTATCCACTTCTTCAGATTTGGAGATGGAGATATGTAAGATCTAAATCTAGGCAAAAAGTTGAGGAGGAAGGGTCGACAAAAAAAAGAAAGAAAGTGGAAAAGAAAGGAGAACTGGAGAGGAGGTAACGTTAACTAAAAGAATAACCGAAGGAGGAAGGAACGTTTAAAGGGATTATTTATTATGATCTAATTGAAGGTGTAACTGACAACGATTAAGAACTTTGAAGAAAACATATGGGCAAAGGTTTCTCGTGGTAGGAAGTCGGAAGTATGAGAATGAGTTTTTGGAGTATGACACGTGGCAATCTTAAGAACAAGTTTTTTTGGCTGACGTGAATAGGGTGAGAAGCCTCAAACAGCTACTTTTATTAGAGAAGATTCATGAGGCTTCCGTTATGCCAAATTGATGTCTCTTGGACCATTCATAGACCAGTTAGTGGTCTCGGTTGGAGTGTAGAGGATGGCAGAGAACTGAGCTTTTTGGATTACATAGGTGTTGCAGAAACCTCTCGGTTCTTTATGTCGAGATGGATAGTCTTCTTTGGGCTATATCATGTTTGCGTGAAAGACAGATTAGCTTGGTTCACTTTCAGACTGATTGTTCGAATCTTATAAGTATGATCGACTCTCAAGAGGATTGACTGTCCTTTATGGCAGATCTTTCCATATCTTTCGAGAGAGTACACAATTTACTCTATCTCATATCCTCAGAAGTTTAAATGTCTAGGTGGATAGTCTTGTAAAAAAATTTCGAGCATGAAATTTTGTATTTTTCCAAGTCAGTCATACCGAGCTAGTCGAGGATGGTCCCTGGATCAAAATTTTGACTAGCGACATGTGATGTAATAAATGGGTAGGGAAAAAAATATAGTAGATTACTCTTATAGTATCTCCTCACCAATTAAAATTCTCTATAAATGAGGCTTTTTTTAATATCATGGTTAAAATAAGAATGTAATTCTCTTGAAGTTTAAATTGCTAGCCACGTATAGTTTGAGGATTAAGGGCTCTGACAAGCGCTGCCCCCGTTGTGGGGATCCAAAGGAGTCCATAAACCATCTATTGTTTTCATGTCTCCCGGCTTAACAAGTCTAGGCGTTATCAGACTTCTCATCCCTTCCGGGTCTCTTTTCGACTACCTCTATTTATCAAAATATGAACTTTCTCTTTTGGAAAACGAAAGAGTTAGGCATGATAAATCCTTAAAAGGATGTATATCCTTTGATCCTGTGGTTTATTTGGAAAGCAAGGAACGACAAAATCTTCAACGGGAAAGAATTTTTTCTGGAAGATACATTGATCCATGCAAAGGTGAAAGCAGATTGTTGGAGAATTGCAAACCAACCCGAAGACAAGGATGACAGACGTTGAGACGATGATATCCCCTCCACCTCCAATATCCCTATCTGGGGACATGCAGACCCCGATATACCAAATTGATGCTTCTTGGATCAACCATAGACCAGTTAGCGGTTTCAGATGGAGTTTGGAGAATGGCAGGGGGAATGAGATTTTTGGACTACAGGGATGTCACACAAGTCATTCGGCTCTCACGCCGGGATGGATTACCTCTTATGTACTATGTCATATTTGAGAGAGAGAGAAATTACTCGGGTTCATTTTCAGATTGATTGTTTAGAACTTGTGAGCATGTCTTGATTTTCAGTAGATTGGCCATACTTTATGACAGAGTTGGACTCCTTCCGTATTCTTTAAAAGAGCTATTCAGAATTCAATCTATTTTATATCCTCAGAAGTCTAAATATCTGGACTGATAGTCTTGCAAAAGGAATTCAAATAAAGAAGATTTCTTTTTTTTCCAAATCAATCATACTAAACTGGTTGAGGATGGTTTTCGGATCATTCTTCCGACTAGCCACAAGCTATATTAGTTGGATAGAGGAAACAAAAAAAATTAGTTTGAGGATTAAAAATGCGATTTTATTTTTGTTAAAGATATTTCTTTACTTCAGCTGGGGTTTTTCTTTTTCTAATTTTCCAAGCGTCTCTCTCTCCCCTCTCCTTTCACAACTCCAAAAGAAGAACGATGTGGTTGGAGATCATCTGTGGTCTCGTAATCTACAAAATCGTCCGTCGTTTCTTCTACGACGAAGAGTTTTCCGACGTCGAAACATCTGATTCCACTGCTCTCTTCTCCGTTGCTCACAGGTAGTAACACCCTCTCTTTTCACCGATTTCTTCTGATTCTCGATCGTCGATTCCCGATTTTAGTGCTCTGAATTGAGTTCTTTTTTTCTCCTTTCTAAATTTCAGACTTGAGAAGCTTTATGGTGGAAAAGCTTATGTAGGGCTTCGAATTCCAGATGCAGACACTGCTTCTAGACAGGACATCGATGTTGTTGTCGTTACTAAAGAGTAATTTTCTCACTTCTTCTCTCTGATTTTTGATTTATGTTGACCTGAAACAAATGATATTTTGGTTTTTAGAGAAGTTGTGGTGGTCAATGTCAAGAATCTATCGGGGATTGTCACCGTAACGAGTGATGGAAGCTGGATTTGTGAAGGTGGCAAGCATCATAGAACTGAGACTCAGCCTGATCCAGTAAGTCTATCTTGTTTAAATTCGTTTGGTTTCTTTGTAAAATGATTACATAATGCTTCCATTTTGAGCACTCGGTGAGTTTATTGTCGTTGTTGAGGATAATTTTGCTAAATTGATGTTCTATATAGAAGAAAGAGATGCATGTTCGTTCTTGTCGCATGTGGATTGAACCTTTATGGTCATGAATTTGTTAAAAAAAATTAGCAGTTGATTACTTGTGGTGTTTTAGTAAGTTTTTCTTTTTACGCGGATACACTTGGACATTGAATTAGAAGTGATAGAAGCGTTATACTATGAATTGAGTAAGTTCACTTCTTTTGAGGTCCCTCTTCGGACAAAAGAAAGTTAATGTGTCTATACCTGTTTTGGAGAAATGCAAGTGTGGTTGTCGCTTTAGTAGAGAATGAAATAGTTTTAAGACTGCTGGTGAAACAGTTGATTCTTGTTGATTATAAGATTGCGGTTGGTTCTCCTTCCTTTTCTGGATCATAATTACACATTCCTTGGCAAGATATACCAATTATTAATAGATGTGTGTTTCACATGTAATTGTCTTGTCATAGCTAAGCTGATCTGCATTTTCCATCTATGCTACGTATCTTCTAACTAATCGATGTGTTGTTTCTCAGCTGGGTGAGGTCAAGAAACACTCTTTAGTTCTTGAATCATATCTTGAACAGAGGGGTGTTACTTTAATAGAAAGAAAATTGTCTTGCAGAGTTGTAATTCCCAATCCAAATTTTCGGTATGTATTGCTACCGTCAGTATTCTCAAGTTTCCTTTTATCTTTGCAACGACATAATTTTTTGTTTCTTTCAGCACCATGCATACATTCCCGTGTGGGGTAATCACGTATGAAGAGTGGCAGCATCTGAAACCAGTATCAAAAAATAAACTTTCTGGTTGGGTTAAAGGCGCGTTCTGCACAGGAAAAGAGATGCAGGAATCTTCGCATCAAAAACTTGATTTCATCCTTGGCACGGCACCAATGTGGGATAGGTCATGCCTCTTATCTTTGTTGAAATTAAATTTATAATTTTGGGGAAAACGATCTATTTCTCCCTGAGAACGTTCATATAGTTATAGATCCCCCTGAAGTTTAAGGTTCTCTCTTGAACCCTCGTTGAAGTTGTCTGTTCAAAGAGTATTTTTTAAAGGTTGATTATGATGCAGGCTGGAGCTTAAAAGTAGCAAGATTGTGTTAGGGGAATTCCTCGAGTTTAAAGGGAAGCAGGAAGACACTCTGGCTTTGAGACATATCAAAAGATCAAAAGTCGACCGTATCTCTATTCAGAAAACAAGCATGTTTGGATTAGGTAATGTCTCTTTGCTTCAATGATTTGGTTGCATCTGCATTTGCCCTTGCGTATACAGATAGTGTGATCTATTCTCAATGAAACACAATTTTGATCTATTCTCAATCAAACACAATTTTGTGATCTCTTCTTCTGTAGAGTCTTTCGTTTGCCTTCAGTGTCTGTGTTTACATCTTGCGAAAATGTTTTAGGGAAGAATAAAAATGTTTTATATTTGAAAGATCTGAATTTCTTTACAGAATTCTTTTTACTCAGATAAATATGCAAAAGATCTACGTTTGGAACAACTGAGACATTAACCCGCTTTGTTTTTGTTATCGATTATGTGATTCTGAGTTTCTGACTCATGAGCTGTAAAATGGTAAAAAAATGGTAGAAATCGAGTGTAATTAACTAAAAAATAAATTGGGTTTGCAGCTCCCTCGAGGTTGCAGGTTCTGTATTCGTATCGAGACTACAGAAGTGAAGGAAGTTCAGGATTAGAGTCAAAGGAAGTGACAGTAAGGTCGAGCACTGAGGTCGTCTTTCAGCCACGAGACTCTGCAAAGGTGAAGAAATTCAAGCTATCGTCCCTCGTCTCCATTTCACTAAGTGCCTAAGTGCCAAAGTGTTCAAAAGATATCAGAGAAAGGTTGTTAATGTCTACTACATGAATTACAAAGACCATGACTTATCAATCACAGATAAATCAACCTTTTTATGAAATTTATTTTACATGTTTACTGTTTATACTTTACACCACTCTTTTATATCAGTCTTTTTTAGTATGCTAAGTACAGTACTCAGGTTTAATAAGTATATGCAATCGGTCTTATACTACGCCAACTTGGCATGTAATCATCCTGAGTCCTGACATTTGGATAGCCGCTCGCAGTTCAGACGTGTCTTGGTAGACTCTTTCGGCAGCTAAGTCTTTTGCGTGACCACAGATTCTATTCAGCCCTGATCAATCATGATCAAGACTCAAGAGTTCAAGACCAAATCATGCAGAACGATGAATAATGGTGATCAAGAAAAGTCTAAGCGAGGAAATAACAAACTCTATTCATATACCTTATCGTATGAACCTAAAACTATTGAACACGAGTATAACTCACAATTTTGCTCTTACCTTAACCACACAAATCTGCATAAGGCTTAACTCACGGTTTGTAGCAAGAATTTACTAAGTGTAGCCCAAGTGCAGTGGCAATGGCAAACAGTTCATTGATAGTTATTTTCTTAAGATCGAAACTCTAAACTCTCTGTAAATCCAAGCTATGTAAGATAAGAAATAAGGGATACATATATTGATCTAGACTCAAATCGTCTTTACTAGTTTGTTACAAACTTACAAGTGAATGAATAGAAACAACTCTTAATTAAAGAAGACACACAAACGTAAACCCTCCTGGTGTTGTAGAGTATCTCCCAGTCAACTCAAATTGTTGACTCTTCTTCTTCTTCTCTGTTTAATTTCTATTTCCTCCTCTTCCTCTGGTTTTAGGTTTTTCGTTTTGGCCGTCTAGCGAGCACGAGAGAAAAGAAGTGAATTTGATCAAGTGGTGAACAATCCCCAACCGGAACTTGATTCTCGTCTCTCCTCTGGTGAGTTTATTTTCAATTATTGCTGCTTTCTGAACCCTTCTTCCTCAGTCGCCACGTTTTTAAGCTTTGGGGTTTCTTCACAATCCGACTTTGATAACTAGATTTGGTCTGATGCGGACGCTTCGATTTTATTAATTCTTCACATTCAGACTGTGACACCTTGAATTGGTCTGATTAAAGATGGCAAAAGATAGTTGTTTAGCCAGAATCACTGCCGGAGTTGCTGTCGGCGGCGCAGTAGGCGGTGCTGTAGGTAAAATTTATCTCCTTTCAATCTATTTCTCTTAATTTATCGAATGATAGGAACAGTCTCATCGATACATCTCCTTTGAATGTATCTGAAGAATGACATGATTTGAGGAATTTGGGGGTATATGTTGCACACGAGTTTTGTTATTGAGGTAGATATAGATAGATTTCTACTTGTTTGTTGACAAAATTCACAAAACCTTGTGTTTCAGGTGCTGTCTATGGAACTTACGAGGCGATTAGATTCAAGGTAATGGATTTCTGAGTACTTCTTGAGCTTGTAAAAATCATGGTTTTATTGGTAAATGAAACCTTTTCAGTCTTTCTCTTACTTTTTTTTCCTTTTTGGTAAGAAACTTGGAAGAATACTGAGGATTATTATGCATAGGATTTTTCTTTTGAAACCATACTCACTCTTGGATATGGCATTCGAAATCGAAAACGCACTGGACAGTTCAGTCTTATACCTGCCTTCATTTGAGCATTAACTAATAGACTTGTGTATCTATGTCATTGTCATCAATTCAGTGAAACCCTTCAGCAATGATTGCTCTTGTTGTGTTTTTTTATCATATAAAGAAGACGATAAAACGAATAGTCTTGGCGCTTAATCTTAGATAAGAGATGTCTAAGGAATGTCTCTTGTCGCTATGCATAAACAATTGTGAAAACATTCTCAATTGATACTTATGTCAAAATTTACCGTCTCGGGTTCAGATTGGATTGGTACTTGATTATTTGTTCGTTGTTTTTGTGTGCAGGTCCCTGGGCTTATGAAGATTAGATTCATAGGGCAAACAACTATCGGCAGTGCAGCAGTTTTCGGGCTTTTTCTAGGTGCCGGCAGTTTGATCCACTGTGGAAAATCTTATTGATTCCCATACATTGGTTTTAGTTTTAGTTTTAGAAGCACTAAATTTGTGACCTGCCAAAGTTTATTAGTGAAAGATTTATTTCTTTTTAGGAAGACGCTGAACATTTTTTTTATCAAGTATTGCCCGTTATGTGTATCGACATCTTTTGGATTTGGACTAGTGACAGTTCCTTAATTTTTTTACCTAAGTGCATCTCCAAAGGCAACTTCAAATTTGAGGTTGGCCAAACTTCAAATTTGAGGTTGGCCAAACTTCAAATTTGAGGTTTGATGATGTTTGTTTCCAAAGACAAAACCTCAAATTTAATTTCATAAAATTTAAAATATTACACTATACTCCTTACTTTTAATCATTATTAATAAAAGTTCATATTACTTTATAAATAAGAGAAAACATACATAAAAAAATATCATTAACTAAAATTATATTATAAACTTTATAATAAAATACAACATTACATTATAAGATAAAATTACAGAAATATAATAATTAAAACACACAAACTAAACTATAAATAGTTACATTTCACCAAATTATTCAACAAAACTATTTTCATAATACTCTCAAATATGATCAATTTTAGTTTTTAATTTTAATTTTAATTTTATTTTATATGCAAATATAAAATTTATGAAGATAAATGTGAAATATTCAGGATATATAAAACTGTTTGGATTAAAATGATAAGCATAAAAAAGAAAATAATTATTTATGAAGTATATAATTGTAAGGACTAAAATGCAAATAAAAAGCTGCAATCTCAAATTTGACGTTTTGAACAGTGAAAACTCAAATATAAGGTTTCACTGTTCAAAACCTCAAAATTTGAGGTTTTGAGGTTGCTTTTGGAATGAATAAAACCTCGTATTTGAAGATTTGAGGTTGCCTTTGAAGATGCCCTAAGACGTCTTATAAATGAAAAGTTACAAAAAGTTTTTTTTTGTTGGGTGGAAAATTTTTTTTTTGTAACATGATCTCAAAATTAAGCATAGAAACTGGAGTGAAAGAAACATACTACAGTAAAGCTTCCATAATTAATAATATTTTGAAATTTATTAACTTTAAAAATATTAATTAATTGATAAATTAATATTTATAAAGAGAAAATGTTTTTTTTTCATAATTTTCTAATTTTTTTTCTTATTATATAAAGTAGAATATTCAAAATTAATACTTATAGAGTTTTATGAACATTAATGAATATGAATTTATTGCGTGATTTATTGCGTAGCTATGAGTGATAATCTAGGAGTTGATTGTTAGAGAATAGGTTTCTAACTCTTTGTTATAGACGGACTCCTCGTTAGAAACAGACAGTGCTACACCAATCAATTTAGATGTCGGCATCTATTTTTTTAAATATTTTTTTTCATAATTTTTTTTAGAAATTAAAAAAATATACTATATAAAACAATCAAATTCCATAAAAAAAATCCAATAAAACATATAATTTTTTGTTGAAATATTGTTTTTCCTACATTTTTTTGTGAAAAATCGTTCATTAAACTCTCGTTTTAATGATTATATAAACATTTAAACCCAAAAATAATATCTAATTTAAAACTGATAATAGGTTGTATAAATAGTAATAATATCAATAAGTTCTTTTTTTTTGTCATCAATATCAATAAGTTTTATACTCATAGATTTATATAAATTAATAATATATATATATCTCTAATAAGAAAATTTTAACAAAAATATGTTCCTCTAAGAAAATTTTAACAAAAGTATGCCTACCTCTCCTGCCCTCAAGGCCGGCCTACAGACACATAGATTCACTATGAATAAACCCATAAGTCCTATAACGCTCAGCTGCCCCATTTGAGATATGAGATATGGAGTTTTATAAATTTAAAATCTAAAAGTGTCAACAAACGAAGCTGAATCACCATGTACAAGCTATCTTCTGATACCGCGAGCAACAATAATTTTATGAACATGTCGGTGACAGAAGCAAGACATTGATCAAGAATCAGGCTATGAATGATTTGAACAAACTGCGAGTAATTAAAATTAATTTCTCTCACTATGACATAGTATTTCGCTCTATGAGTGATTAGAACAAACTGTGAGTGATTGAAATTAATTTCTCTCACCATGACATAGCATTTCGCTCTGCCAAAACTTATTTTAAGTCATTGCAGATCGCTAAGTCTAACCAAATAGCAATTTATGCAATTACGGAATATGCAAAGCCCCAACAACAATGCATAGGTGATTTCACAGTTAACTACTATAAGACATGTATTTTGTTGGCAAGTTCAACAACTTTGGCAATGGAACATTCAACCAGATCTTTAGGAGTCATCCTAATTTCTCATACCAAAGCAAAGATGTCGAGAATCCTCAAACCCAAGTCTATCGTCAACAGACACACAGCAACAAGAAATGACATTCATGCGTAGACAACAATTCAATCAGGGATTAATATACCAGCGAAAGCAGCCTTTAAATTTATCTGAGTCTGCACCTCCTACAATCCAACAAGAGAACAAGCTTATCGAATGACAGAAGAAAAATACCAAAGAATGATATAAGAAGATCAATGGACTCTCATAATCTCCACAGCAAGTACTGACGCATTTATCCTCATGTCAAGAAGTTAAGACGTCCAATTTGGAGAATATTTTAAAGCCGTAAAGAGACAAGCCACAGATGAAGCTAAAATCAAAACATTTTGCAACACAGCGACCACTCCAGAGGAAAGACTCATGCAGTCACCGAATAAGAGGAGACTCACATGATTATCAAGGAAGAAAGATTCATAAAATAGCCAATGATGAGGAAATCGAAGCACCCACTGTGTACCCGTCACGTGAAGCTTATGATGTTATGTTCTGATCCAAGGGAACTTATCCTCCACGAGAGTCTAAGAGAGCTAGAAGTGCAAATATCACCAGAAAATCCTCCCCATGCTAGAATGTTCTGGAAAATATGTTGTCCCATACTATCATAGAAATTGATTTCTATAAATCTCTTTGTGACACAGCTGTTAACGTGAATGTGATGTCAAAAACTATTGAGAAAGTTAATGATTCCATAATGAGAAATTTAATGAGTAAGGGCACATATTCTTCACTATATAAACAATCATCACCCTCACAAATTATATAGAACATCCACTCAATGTAAAAAAAAGTACATAATAAAAGTTGAGAAACCAGACGTAGAAGATGGTAAATCACGAAAGCTGTATGCATCAGACGATCACAAAAGCAAAAAGAAATTTTGGAGAATACGTGTGAGGAAAACCTTTAGGAAAAGGATGATGAGTCTTCATCTTCTTTACCTCTTCCTTGAAACAAGATATTTTTCAGTTCTTGTTGGTTCAATTCCCCAATGTCTTTGCAGTATAAGAGGTGTCAAATCCAATGTGTGATATCTAGATACCAGAATGCATGAATTTAATCTTAATCCAAGCAAGCAAATGAGTTTGTTTTGTAACAAGTGATGAAATTGCAAATAAACTAGTCTAAACAATGATCAAACAAAGCAAAACAAACAATGACAAGATGATGATGATATGTAAATGATGGAATCATGAAACTCTAGACATGATAGTTGCCTAAGGTGCATTAGTGATCAATCAAGGTACTAATGACAATATGAGATATGATTTAAGCAACTTAGGATTTAAAGCAAGTTTTAATCTTTTCCAAGCATCAAAACACAAATCAGATTATTACTCATACCCAATCATCATTGGAGACATAACAATAAGACAGCATTAATAACCAATCCTAAAATGTCATTTATGCATATAACAAACATGCTCATGGCATTAATGCATAAACTTCTCTACATTAGTTGGTTCAAGATTTCATCAAACACCTTTTGGATGGATGAAATACCTAAGATCTGGGTTAGAGAGATTATATAAAACCCAGCATTAAGATCAGCTAATTAGAGAAATGAAAACATAAATCTAGTCCTAAGCAATCTAATCTAAAACTTTTGAACCTTAACCTACATATCTAGAACTCCATTAAGACAACTACTCACTAATCATGGTTAACACACTTAATCTTTTGCAAGATGTGTTGTTAATCATGATTAGAAGCCTTGAATGATGAAAAGAGATGATAAGATGTAAAGAAAAGAATTTAATTTTGATTAAACTCAAAGAAGATTCTTCACAATTGATGTGTTTTTTCACAAAAGAGGCAAGTTCCAAAATAAGATAAAAGGTATATAGGGTTTTTCACCCCAGAAACTATTTATAAAGATGAGTTCGAACTGGGGCAGCTCAGGAAAAACTTGGTACTGACCCAGTTTTCTGGGTTAAAAAGAGTGTGCCTTGGGGTGATCAGCAGGTTCCCATGTGGAGGCCTTCAACCCGAGTCAGTGAAATCTGGGTTAAGCCTCAAGAACATGTGCATGCCTCGGGTTGGTTCTTCACGAGGCATATGAGCCGAGGCGAGTTTTTTCTTGAGCTGGAAAGTCAAAGAGAGGATGTCTTGGGGTCAAGTAAATCGAGGCCAGAGGTGGAGGTCTTGAACATTTGATTCAGTAAAGCTTGCCTCGGCCTAAAACATGTCAAGGGGTGCACCCGAGGTTTTGAATGTTTCCATTCGATGTTTGCCTCAGGTTCCCTTATGAGCCGAGACCTTCATGTCGAGGCTGGAAATGGAGAGGTACCTCGGGTTGGTGTAGACCGAGGCATACAGATCCAAACACATGATGAAGAGACATGCCTCGAGTTGGATTGAGTGGATGCATTGTTGTCGAGGCATAACCTTCACTTGTACACTGACAGCTTCAAGACTACTCAGGATCCGGGAAAGACATATTCTTTCTCCGTTTGCGTTATCTCTCAGCTCAGTATTCCAAAGTGATAGATTCCAAGCGTCCTGGAAAGGTAATTCCGTGCTCACCAACTTTTATGAAGGGTCAAACTCAATCAGGGGTCAGCAAGGCTTCCGTTTGAGGTGATCTCCGAGGCACATTGAATTGATCAGGGAAATGGTTCCAAGACATGTTCTTCTCCCGTTTGCGATAACTTTCAGCTCACAGCTCCAATTATCTTGATTCTAAGTGTTTTGAAATCTTGTCTCGATGATCTCAAACCTTTAGGAAGACATCAGAGACTGAATCAGATGGGAAGGCTTTCCGATAGAGGCATCTTTGTGGCGTATCAGCACAGGAAAGTTTTGGTCGAGAAGCATGTACCG